ACCAGACAAGAACTGTTTCTCTATCCACAGATACTGCCAGACCAGTTGGGTTTCTCCAACATTCTCTTTGTTTGAGATTTCCAGCATCCACAGTATTTAGCATGGTTTAGATTCTGGTTGAGGGAGGTCTGTTCAGCAAGATATCAGAACACTCAGCTCCACTTTAAACAGTGTCTTGCAATATTTTGTTTCCATTAGAGAACTCAAGTTGTGCATCAGACAGGCCAAGCAATGGTGGCAGACTTCCCTCCTTTAGCAGATGAAGCAGTTGTATTTTTGTACCGATCTACTAATTACCAGACCTACGCAATTCAGCTTCATAACTTGATTTGTTGCGATTTGAAGTCAGATGCATCTCATTGCTCACATCCTCATCGTGCATCAACATCTCCAAAATAATAGTCGCATTGAGCAATCATTCACTTACAAAAAAAGTTACATATTCCATCAGCAGCTTTCCATTGAGATCATACTTGCATTCTTTTCTTCCAAAATGCAGTGCTTGACATTTTTATTCTTTGCCAACCTGACTGTGTCCACCTGAACTCATGTTCACCTTACTTTTGGCAATACATGATGTAGTTCTGCCACTACTGGAACCCCTGCAAGGAAATTGCTGCAATCATTTTCTCCTGTCCTTATGCCTCTGTGCAAGGACAGCAAGACTGCCTGGAAGCTGGCAGAACAAATTGGGGCAGCTACTGGCAATAAACTTCTTGATAATAAGCTGTTAATACAGATGTAGTACTGGAACTCTGTCTAATGGCACTGTAGGTCTACCAAAACCGAATGCACTGCAGTGGTTCAAGAAGGCAGCTCACCAACACCTTCCCAAGGATATCCAAGGATGGAAAAAACAGGTTGGCACAGCCAGCAATACCCACATCCCATGAACTCTTAAAAAATCCTCATATTAATTTGTGGGCTACAATAAGGCAGCAGACTGTCTATTAATCAGCAAAAGTTGTTTCAGATCTTCAGGTCCCCTTTCTCCAAAAGTGTTAAAAACGCTCGATGGCCCCTGTTCACAGTCTGCTGAAATGGTCCTTCTGGTTTGTTAGGATGTGATACTCCTTGATTCTCTTACTCCATGTATTTACACATGTTTACAGGAGGCATAGTATACCTTCTCTGGACTGCACCGATTGCAAGTCTTTTCTTAAATAATCTGCCAAAACCGTACACAGTACTCAAGATGTGGTCTCACCAATGCCATACACAGCTGTGGCAAAACCTTCCTTAGCGCACACTGAGTTACAATTTCAATAATAAACAACATTCCAATTACCTTCTTAACCACCTGCTTTACCTGGACATAAACTTTTGTGGTTTGTTTTTTAGGACACATGGATTCCTCCGCATTTTTTTCCCCTCTCTCTATTTAAATTATACATCGCTCTTCTATTCTTTCCATTGTTGGGAATGCACATTTATGTATGCAGACTATGTGAAAAACTGAGAAATAATCAAACTGTTTATACACTTTCTGGATACAAATAGGTTTTCAACCATGTGGTTTCTTTGGAAATGAAGTTAACAGTTTAAATGAAGACTAGTTTATCTGCTGTCATGGCTAAAAGTTGAGCAAAGCCTTTAGGGGCTTTGAGGCAGAGTACTGGGTGGTAAGAGTTGGATGTTTTATGGCCCTTTTGTTCTGGAAAATCTCATCATAAAATCAGTCTCTGGCTGTCAGCAATTCAATTTCATCCACAAAAAACCCAAAACAAAAGTAATCAAATTCTAGATTTGGTTTTCAGGGTCTTGGTCAACAGGGTGGAGGTGGGGGATGGGGGGTTTAACATTAAATATTTTGACCACTGCATTGTTTTCCATCATCAGTTCCTCTAAAAAGATTTACACTAGCTTTGGTAATTATTTTCCTATTTAGATACGAATAGAAAATCCATTTTTACAATGCTTCTCAGTCTGATACTAACCGCTTCTTTCAGTTTTGATAACAGTGTATCTTTTTTCTTTCTTTCTCAACGGAATACGTCTTTGCTGCAGGCTTTTAAATATTTCCGTAAAAGCTGACCACTGCATTGCTACGCTCTACTTAATTTCCCAGCTTACTTTGGTTAGTTTTGTCTTCATAATATTATAAATGATCATTATTTAGGTTTAGAACAGAAGTATTATACCCACATTTCTCACTTTCAAAATTAATGTGAAACTCATTTCATATCAAACTTTCAGTTCTAACTGAAAAGAGATTAATATTAATGAAGATGCTGGTAGACCTGCTGAGTTTGTCCAGCAGTGTATTAATTATGAACGAATGAGATATGCAACACACTGTTGTGTGTAAATTACCAACTATCTTTAATTCAGCTACTTAAGAAACATCACAGACAATCAAATACTGAAATAGTTATTTAAATTTTCTTGCATGTAGCAACCAAAGTAAGACCCCTCAAGTAACCAAGTTAAGCCACACAAACCAACTTGGGTATTACTCAATTAATGGTGGAATTTAGTGACAATTCCAACTGACAGCAACTATCTCTGCCTATGTCCAGGATTCGATTCTTGTGCACGTGGAATTCTGCTGCCGAAGAATCCAGAAGTTCTATTCTTCGAGGATTTTGTGCCTGTTAAGCTTGTGCTGTGTCATTACTTATGACCCTTTAGATCCATTCATTCCACGAAATCAGTCATCAAATCTGTAGCTTGCTTTATCAGGAGTAGCTTCTCTGTTCCATACTACATTCAGAATTAGCAGTCTGCTCGAAACAAATCTGTCCTGTCATGGCATTAACTGTTGAAATGCTTCTGCAGGGCAATCATTTGTCCTTATGGCATAAGGCAGCCAGTTATCAAGCAGTTTTATATAGTTTTGACTCCTCGTTTTCCCAGGGCTGGTTAATTGGCAATATTGCTTTTAATTCCTTGTCAGGAAATAGTCCCATCATGAACTGCTATTAAAGTTCTTAAGTTTACAATATCACAGCACTGATTGGTAGGCTGAGCCTGACATATACAGAGTCAGAATCAGTCATAAGAGGGAATCCTGCGATGTTGCTCCAAGTACATCTATTGCTGATTCATAGAGCACACAATCCATCCCAGACTGCTAAACTTGTAAGGTAACACAAATGTGGAACATCAGGTCTAGGTCATTCCTTGTGTTGGATAAAAAGTCAAAAGGTTCTAGGGACGATGTAAATCAGTCGGAAATTCCACCTACCAATCAATCAATGCAGTCAAAAGCATTGTTTCAGTTTCCAATAGATTCTTGAAGTGTCTGTTAGTTTGTCTGATTCCTTACTGGAGAATTTAAGAGTTGGTTACAAGTTGAATATTGCTTTTTGTTCAATAAAAATGGAAAGGAACTTTTCATGCACAACCTGATTTGATTCATTACCATTACTTGTATTTTGTTACAAATACATTGAAAAGTATAGTGTCACCACTCTCCGGTGCCATCTTGAAACATGGAAAATAAAGGCAGAAAACAAAGAAATGTTCCAACTCAGCTTGAAAGCTATGTCATTGGCCTGGATCTGGGCGCTCCCCGACCCCGATGCTAAGACCAACATAAACACCAAGCAGTTGATCAGCCTCGAGTTTCTTCACCACACCACTGCCATTGAAACGGAATTGCCATATTACCACCATGAGTCCTTGCTGGGCTGATCTCGCCAATGCCACCACCACTGATGCCATTGGGTCCGCACCAGGCCCAAACTCAACCCCACCAGCACTGACTTGAGTCTACGCTGTGGTACAACCTCACCAATGCAATCACCAACGCTACTGGGTCTCAGACTGGGCCACTAGGCCCAAGTTCACCTCCGCTGCAGGGAATCCAAAAATTCATCACATGTCCATGCTTGACCCATATTGCCACCGCCAACACCACCGTTCTTAATAACAACAAGGTCAGTTTAAATGAAAAACTGAAGCAAAAGATAAAAGGAAGAAAAGTGGATGAAGCCTGGGCTCAGGAGCCCAAATGCTACCTGCTCCCCTGCCACCATCTTGAATGAGTCTCCATGAACTGTTATTCATTGCCCCAGACTGAGCTTTACCCATGTGTTTTAGGTTGGGCAGACAAAGCAAAGAGTCACAGGCACCCAGTATACATGTTCTTTTATGGAAGAAACTTGAGCTTTTGAGGCAGCCTTTTTCATTTGCAGTGCTTATATGAAGGAGCGAAGAGATTCCACTGCTACTTAGAGATAAAATTAGCAATATTCACTGGCACTATTTGTTACAAATATTCCAGTCAACAGTGGCCTTTCCAGCAAAATTTAAATATTAATATTTCAAATACTTGCCAGTGTTTGAACTAATTGCCTACTGCACACAATGTCTTACTTACTCTATTTAAGCAGATATCTATAGCACTTGAATAGGGGGATACTCATAAGAAATATATCCATTCTCCCAAAAGTGTTAGAAGTTTTTTTTTCACAGCACTTGTCTCAACCTCTATCCACTCCCATATTGTAACATATGGCTGATGGTTTGGTATCTAGTGGTTCTTATATTTGTCAAATAAAAATCTCTTAATTAATCTACGAACACATTATTTAATGCTCAAAGGAAGTAGAAGATATACTCAAGCGACTGTTCATCTTTAAAAAGTAGTTTACTTAAAAGCCATCAATAGCGACATCAAAACGTTCCTGGAAAGTCATCTAATGCGCAATGGAAAGGAACAGAACAAAAATGTGATTTGACATGATTGAAACTGAAAGAGAACAAAATTTGAAACAATTGCCAAAAGAAGCAAAATGGGACACGAAAAAGAAATCACAGACAGTGTGAACATCTGGATGCACTGCCCGAGGGAGTGTAGTGGAGGCAGGTTCAATCAAGGCATTCAGAAGGGTATTCAACCAACATCTAAGAAGAATGAATGTGCAGAGTTACATGGAGAAAGTGGGGGCATAATACAGTGCAAGCAGAAGTATTCAAGAAAGATGAAGGAGAACAGGACTGAAGTAATTAATGATACAGCTTGAATAGGGGAAGCACAATGGGCCTAGATTTACCTGGAGCACACTCTGGATCCGAGCCCAGACTTCTGCCATGTCGTACAGTTTGATCTCACTCACATTCAAACCAGAAGGCGACACAACCATTTGGTGAAGATAGCCGAGAATAATTTTATGGGCAGCAGCTACAGCATAGAACTTTTCAAACAGCAACTCTAGAAGCTCCAGCAGTAACCTAGACAAAATCAACGTAAAATTAATAAATAAGCTAGTTGTTAACAAAGTATGAACAGCCAGTTTCTATTTGCCATTATCCAACGCATGCTATTTTTTGCTACAAACATCATGAGCAAGGTCATAAAATCTGGACACTGCAAGAGAAGATTTTCTGAAAAGATGGTGATCAAATAGAAATCCTCTGCCCAGTGTCCATTTGCAGTTTCAATAAATGGGTTAAAATAGACCTACTATTTGAACTCTCAATGACAGAGGTATAGAGGAGGCCATTTAGCAGATAATTTCTGCACCTTCAAGAGTATGAAAATGCATATTTGGAAAGCAATGCTTATTAGAAAATTAATTTTAAACTTCCTTCTACCGCTGCATGAAAATCAATACAGCTGCCATAATGTGGTGAACTGATTAACTTGCAGAACTATACAAGTCATAACTGAAAGTAAAATTTACATTCATAATTATTGCCATTACAGTGATTAATGCAATTACTTGAATCATTTTGCCAACCATGACACATCACACCTATGACAAATGAATTTATCACTCAACTGAATAAAGTTATTAACGAAGAGAAAACAGTTAACCTGTTAGCTCCACAAGTGTTGGTGGTGAAATCAAACCCTACTCCTGTATCATTCCATGCCACATTACAAACTTGCTTACAAACATCTCTGACTTGGTGTGACAATCTTCTGAGTGAACTTAGCTAATTCCACACATGGGAAGTAACATCTTAAATAGATGATGTGAGAAGAGCAAGACTTTAGATTTTAGGGACAAAAGGGTTTATAAAAATCTAGGCCTGGTACTTCTTCAAAAGTCTTCTTTAAAGTTGCAATAGAGTGGCTCAGTGGTGAGCACTGCTGCCTCACAGAGTGAGGGACCCGGGTTCGATTCCACCCTCGGGCAACTGTCTGTGTGGAGTTTGCACATTCTCCCTGTGTCTGCGTGGGTTTTGTCCGGGTGCTCTGGTTTCCTCCCACAGTTCAAAGATGTGCAAGCTAGGTGGATTGGCCATGCTAAATTGCCCATAGTGTTCAGGAATGTGTAGATCAGGTGGGTTATAGCGGGACGGTTCTGGGTGGAATGCTCTGCGGCTTGGTGTGGACTTGTTGGGCCGAAGGGCCTGTTTCTACACTGTAGGGATTTTATGATCTATGAACTTATTTCCTTATCAAAGTCAACATATTCTTTGATAGCTAAATTCCTCACACCCATTACATAGTTTCATCACATTTTACTGTCAAGTGTTTTATTCCCCTTCACTGGTAAATGGTATTCCTTAAAACAGTATGTAACCTAAGTAGGTTTCCATACAGAACACAAAAGTCTTTCAATGGATTCAGTAAACAGAATCATTTCTCCCAAATGCTGAAATAGCCACCACTGCCCTTCAATATTCCAGACTAGAAGAATGTATGAAGTGCAAGTTCTATTTGTAAAGCTCATTAAGTTTCCACACTCAACAGGCTAATCAAGTTCTTCATACCCTCTTCACTACTGCTATTTTATGATGACTGGGAAGAACTATTTGGTCCTCTTACACCTTAGCAAATTGTAATCTTATTGATCCTTGGAAAACAAAGCTATAAAGGCAATTTGTACCAAACTGGTCATTGTTTGCAGCAATGCAATCCTCAATTTATCACCACTTCAGACCAATTAAAGGTTGCTTCCCAAGAAAAATGACGGAAGCCGAATTGTCAACACCTAACTGAAGCTAGATAGATTCCAACAACAAATGCACAAGATATTTCATCAGTTACAAACAAGCCAAAGCATTTCATTATGCTGCATGCAGTATACTTTGCAGTACACAGCAAAAGCATGGTTAGTAATTAATGAACAATAAATATTTCACAGGGTTCACTTGATTAATGTAAGCAACAGCTGTAAAGGAAGTAAGTCACAAAAAAAAGCAAGAACACTGCCACAATTTGAAAACAATTGTTACCAAATATATCAGGCACACTGGCTTTGGAGATAAATTGAGTTCAGTGGTTATGCAGTCCATATAGAAATATTGTTCATGAATGGAATCAAAATCACTAGATGCATCACTAAGGCCTCTAAATGCAAGTTGAAACCTAACTGTTTTAAAGCTACTGCATTTTTGCTGCAAAATTTCACCACCATTCAACCATCCTGTCCAAAAAGCTGTGACTTCAGCGAATTTCATTCGGTGCATAGGAGAATCAATCTATATAAATGACCTGCAAGCAGGGATAAAGTGCAACATAGCAAAGTTTGCTGATGATACTAAAATAGGTGGGAAAGTGGGCAGTCATGAGGAGGTAAAGAGTTTACAAATGGATATTGAAAAGCCAGGAGAATGGGCCAGAATTTGGCAGATGGAACTTAATTTGGATAAGTGCAAGGTTGCTTATTTTGGTCGATACATAAAAACGCAGATAGTTATTTAAATGGAAAGCAGATTCAAAAAGTCTGTCAGTTCAGAGGAATCTAGGTGTCTTTGTGCATGAATCACAAAGTGGGCATGCAGGTGCAGTAAACAACAAGACAGACAAATAGAGTCCTGGCATTTATAATCCAACCCTTCTGCAATAAAAGCGAAGTGCTGTTCTAATTATACAAAAGGCACTCATAATTCCTATGTTCTTATATTCCTATCAAGCCACTCAACCACTCAAGTCTCTTCTGCTATTCTAGATCTTAGCTGATCATTCAGTGTATTACTCTATTCCGTGATGTCAGGAACCAGAAATCTTGCAACTGCTGTGCTTTAACTGATTGAATGACTGAGTTTCCAAAGTCCTTTGAGGTGGATAAATTCCAAAGATTACACTTGGAGTGAAGACCTTCCTCCTTTTATTCTGAGAGTATCTGCTGGTTCTAGATCCAAAAGCCAGGGAAAATAGACAATGTTTCTCTTCTGTCTATCCCTTTAGGGGTTCTCTCCGTTTCAATGGGATTGCCTCTCAGTACTGAGCTCCAGAGAATTCAAGCCTCCTGTTCTTAACTTGTCCTCAAAAGGACAACCCCATCATCCCAGGGTTAAACATTGTGTACAGCCACTTCACTCTCTATGGCAAGTATAGCCTTCTGTAAGAATAGGGACCAGACCTAAACACAAAACTTCAGTGCAGACTCACCAGTCTTCTATACATCTGAAGCAAGACTTTTTGCTCGTGGTCTCAAATCTTCTTGCCTTCTGAATTACTTGCTGCACCTGCATTCTAGCCTTTAGTGATTTGGCAACAAGGAAATGCAATCTCTTCAGACATTAACACTTCTCAATCTCTCACCATTTAATTAAATACTCTGCATCTAAGCACCTCCTACCAAAGTGAATAGCCTCATGCGTATCTACAATCATATTCGATATGCAGTGCTTTCACTTATTCACTTGCCTAAATCCCCATGAAGCCTCTATGCATCCTCATCATAACTCTCACTCTTAAGTTTTGGATTGTCTAAAAACTTCGAATTATTTCCACTGACTCCCACAACCAAATCTTTGATATATATTGGGTACAGCCAAAGTCCAATCTTAAATTGTTGCAGGTCTTCACGGGTCACTAACTGCCTGTATGAGAATGGCCCATTCATTCCGACTTTCTAACTGTCAATGAATCCTCAATTCATGCCAATATATTATCCCCAATTAGATGTGCTTTAGTTTTATCTACTAATCTCTTATGAGGGTCTTGGTCGGAAATCTAGAAAATACGAGTACACTAAATCCACTGGTTCCACTCATTAACTTAGCTAGAAACGTCTTAAAAAAACTCTCAAGTTTGTCAAATATCACTTCTCCTTCATAAATCAGGGCTTGTGATGGCAGTGTCATGTCGCTGGACCAGGAATCCAGGACACCTGCCCAGTGTCCTGCAGCTATGGGCTTGAATACTGCCATCGGAAAATGTTGAAATTTAAATTCAATAAAATCTAGAATTAAAATACTAGTCTAATGGCCACCATGAGACCACTGATTGCAATGAAAATATACTTGGTTCATTTATGTCCTTTAGGAAAGAAAATTTGCCATCCGTTCCTGGTCTGGCATGGATGTCTCTCCAGATTCGTAGCAATTTGGATGACTCTTCAATGCGCTCTAAAAAGGCCTACCAAGCCACTCAGTTGTAACAACCACAACAAAGTCTCAAGAAAGGCTAGAAATTGGACAGACCACCCAGCATCGAACAAGGCACGGAATCAACAAGGGTAAACATAACACTGCTTACCCTGTGAAGTTCTCCGAAGCAACATCTGGGAGTTGTGCAGCTGGAGAGCAATGCCACTGACTAATCAAAAGATTTTATATTGATACACTATTTCCTTTCTCTAAAATTACTTCAGGAAAATAGGTTTTACTGGTTGGGCCAGCATTTATTGCCCATCCCCAGCTGCTCAATAAGTCTTTAGCAACTATTGCTGTCTGCTTTGTGCAGCAAAGCCACAATGCTGTAGGAAGGGAGTTCCAGGACTTCAGACCAGCAATACCCAAGTCAGAACAGAAAAATGGCTTGGTGGAGAACCCATGTATTTGCAGCCCTTGTCCTTAGAGATGGATATGGTTGGGAATTTGAAAGGTGCAGTAGAAGGAGTCTTGGTAAATTTCGACAGTGGATCTGACAAACTGTCCATACTACTGGGACTGAGTTGATAATAGAAATGAATGTTTCAGAATGTGGGAAAAATCAAGTGGGCTGCTTTGTCCTTGACACTATCAATCTTCTTTAGTACCGATGGAGCTGCACTCATCCAAGAAGATAAGAAGTATTCCATTAAAACCTTGACTTGTCCCATGGAATTGGTGAATGGGCTTTAGGGAATCAGGATTATATGAAGGATTCTTAGCCTTTTACCTGCGCTGACACTCTCAGTAGTTTGTAGCCATTCCAGCTTAGTTTCTGGTTAATGGTAGTACTCAGTCATGGAATCATATACTCTTGACAGAGTCCCAGACATCACCATCACGATCACGATCCATGTATATGGCCTGCCTCTTGGGCACAACACACCCATGAAAGGCAGAAGCATAGTAGTATAAAACTTAGGGAAGGAGTTACCCTGGGAATCCTCAAAAATGGCTCCAGACCCCATTAAATCTCATATCAGGACAAAAGTGGCAAGAAAACTTCTTGCTGCTTGCTACTTACTGCCTCCCCACCTTGGGTGAGGGAACAGCACGTGATGATGAACATCACTTGGAAATGGCACTGAGGTTGGCAAGGGCACAAATATACTCTGGGGTCAGAAACTTCAATGTCCATCACCAAGACAAGGCTAAGCAATCCCATAACAAACAGATCACATCTAAGCTCTGCAGTCCTGCCACATTCAGTTGTGAATTATGGTGGGCAACCAGATGACTAAAAAAGGATGAGGCCCCATAAATATGCAAATGCTCAACGATGGAGGAGCCCAGCACGTTTGTCTTTTGCACTAAGCTCAGTATTTACATCCCTCTTCAATCAGAAATACAAAGTGTATGATCGATCTCAATTTTTGGAGGTCTCGAAAATCACTTAATGCTAGTCTTCTACCAACTTCATTCACTCCATGTGTAATCAAGAAACAGTTGAAGGCACCAAGTACTGCAAAGATTATGGGCCCTGGCATTCCCATCTGGCTCCACTGGCATCTACCAGACAAGGTGAAAAATTGCTGAGTAATATCCTGAGCACAAAAACAAGAAAATCCAACCTGGACAATTACTGCCCTTTCAGTATATGATTGCTTATCAAAATGATTGAAGGGCTTGTCAACAGTGCTATCAAGTGGCAGTTGGCAAGGAATAATTTGCTCAATGACACTCAGTTTGGGTTCTACCAGAGGTACCAAACTTCTGACCTTGTTGCAGCCTTGATCCAAACATGGGCAGAAGAGCTAAATTCTAGACAGGAGGTGAAGATTACTGCCCTTAGCACCAAGATAGTATTTGACGAAGTGTGGCATCAAGAAGCCTCAGAAAAACTGGAGTTAACACTATTATCATCGACCAAGGTCTGCAGGGATGCCAAAGATCTAATGAAACAGGTGATAGATCTATTCATTTATTTTTAATTAAGTGACAATTTGGTTCTGTAAGTATAGGGAACTAGTAATCAATGACGTGGAAAATGTAGTTAACTGAAATGAAGACCAAATAACATAAGCTGAAGTTGGCATTCCACTCATCAAATCATGGCTGCTCAGACGATCCTCAGCTCTCCTGCCTTTCCCCATAATCCTTGATTCTCTGACTGATTAAAAAAAAAAAATCAATGTATCAGCTTTGAAAATGTTGAACAATCCAGATTCTATAGCCCTCCGTAATAAAGAATTCCACAGATTCACTGTCTTGAGAAATTTCTTTCCTCATCTCTGCCTTTAAATGGGACTTACTCGGAGATCATGTCCTTTTCAATTATGCCTCTTAACTTCTACTAGTGCCATCAAATGACCCATCCTGTTGCAAATGTTGTGTGCTGTCAGATAGATTGTTGTTAATTTTGCCTTTCTTTTTTAAACAAACCACTAGTCTTGTTTCTTGAGCTTTCTACTTTCCATAATCAGCTTTATATTTAATTTTATCTGAAGTCGCTCTCAGGGATCTTAATTCATATCTCTGCAACGACTCTAGGAATCTTCGGGGTCCCGTTCAGGTTTAACCCATCTTCCTTAGGCAGGTCTCATCTATTCCAGGACCAGCCCAACATCTTACAAGTCCAAAGCCCTGCCTCTTGCATCAACCTTGTGTTCATTTGATCATTCTTTGATGGTTCTACATTGACAAACACATAACATTGGAAATAATCCATAGATCACTGCCTTCTATCCGGCTTGCCAGTCTCATGCTAGCACCCAAAATTCTACAACAACTTTATCCCTCCTTCTACTTGTGATATTGGCACTAACGTGGACCACAACCTCTGGTGTTCCACCCTTGACCCAAAGAGAGTGTTCGGTAGTCATTTGGTGACATGTTAGCAACTGACAACAGTCTCATACCCCACCTGCTGGGAAAAAAAAAATCACCCCTTCTCCATCAGAGATAGTAGGAACTGCAGATGCTGGAGAATCTGAGACAACAAGGTGCAGAGCTGGATGAACACAGCAGGCCAAGC